AAACCTTTCAACTAAACCATTCGATGCTGGATGGTAGGCGGTAGTGCGTATGCGTTCCGTACCAAGCAGCCGGGTCAGTGAGGAGAATAATGCGGACTCAAATTGTTGTCCTCGGTCAGTCGTGACAGTCGAGGGACAACCGTGCAATGCTATCCATCGTTCTACGAAGCGGTGAGCAACTGTCTCCGCCGTGATAGACGTGATGGGAATAGCTTCGGGCCATCTTGTAAAACGGTCAATGCACGTGAGTATGTGATCATACCCATGCGATGGTGGCAATGGTCCTACAATGTCTATATGAACGTGATCAAAGCGAGCATCAGGCGTAGCGAACGTGCCAATGGGGGCAGTAACGTGCCTGTGCACTTTTGATCGTTGACACTGTAAGCATTGCTTTACCCACATACGAACATCTTTATTCATGGACGGCCAGACGTATCGTGCAGCGGTGAGACGTAATGTGGCTGCGATACCTGGATGAGACAATCCATGAAGGGCATCGAAGACGAGACGGCGATAGGCAGAGGGTACGATGGGTCGAGGAAGACCGGTAGAAATATCACATAGGATAGTACCTGAGCTGGTAGCTAGGGGTACTTCCTGACACTGAAGGGACGAAGATTGTGGTGCGTCTGTACAGACAGGATCGTTTGCTTGCGCGGCCGCCATAGCAGGAAGATCGAGCACCGGTAAAGTAACTTCATTCGTCTGGATACGTGAAAGAGCATCGGCAACATGGTTCGACTCGCCTTTAATGTGACGAAGGTCTGTCATGAAGTGGGAGATATAGTCCAAATGTCTGCACTCTCGTGGTGAGTAGCGGTCAGACTTGGTATGCAGGGCATACGTTAAAGGCTTATGGTCGGTGAATAAAATGAATTGGCGTCCTTCTACTGCTTGCCGGGAATGTTTGATGGCGCAGTAGGCTGCAAGCAGCTCGCGACCAAAAGCGCTATATCTCGTCTCCGTGGGAGCAAGGCGTCGTGAGAAAAATTCAAGCGGTTGCCAACTACCGGAGATATTCTGTTGCATAACGGCTCCTATAGCGAAATCCGATGCATCAACCGCTATACTAAGCGTGGCTGATGGGTCAGGATGAGCGAGGAGTGTAACTTCGGCGAGAGCCGTTTTGATCTCTGAGAATGCAGTACGTGCGGTATCGTTCAGTTCTAATTTGCGTGGATTACCGCGTAGTAAATCGGTTAATGGTCGTAACCGTTCTGCCACGTGGGGGATGAAACGTCGGTAGAAGTTAACCAAACCGAGAAAAGCCTTCAGTTCCTTGATTGAGGACGGCACGTTGTACTCCTTGATTGCTCGAACTTTGTCCTCGCAAGGCAGAATACCCTCTTGTTTGATGATGTGACCCAGAAATATTATTTCTGATTTACCCAATTCACATTTCTCTGGGTTGACTACTATTCCATTATCCGAAAGACGTTGGAATAATAGCGTAAGGTGTTGATAATGTTCATCTACGTTTGATGATGCGATCAGCAGGTCATCAATATAGACGTGAACAAAATCCAAGTCTCGTACTATGCTATCGATAAACCTTTGGAAAGTTTGAGCAGCATTCCGTAATCCAAATGGCATTCGTAGGAACTCAAACAGACCGAAAGGAGTCGTGATAGCAGTGTTTTCGATGTCTTCAAGAGCGACTGGGATCTAGTGATATGCTCGTACCAGAAAAGATAGTCGTGCCCTTGAGCGATGCCATGATGTCGTGTATGTGGGGGATGGGGTAGCTATCAAAGCGCGCAACTACGTTTAATGCTCGGCAGTCGCCGCATGGTCTCCAACTAACCCCGTCCTTTTTGCGCACCATGTGTAAAGGAGAGGCCCAAGGACTGTGAGAAGGACGAATAATACCAGCAGATAGTAAATTGTCAAACTCACGTTTAGCGAAAGCTAATTTGTCCGGTGCCAGTCGGCGTGGTCTTGCCGTGACTGGTGGTCCGCGGGTGACTATGTGGTGTACCACACGATTGGTCACCGATGAAATCTCCTCGAGTGGTTTAGTTATTCTGGGGAATTTCTCGAATAAAGCGTGGAATTTATTGTCACGCGAATAAAACGTGCCGAGGATTCGGTACGCGTACATCGGAGTCTATTATATTAATACTATTCTTATCGTTATCCGTCATGTCCAGTATATTATATATTAAAAATTAATATGAAAATATACGACAGACGTGGATAGATAAAACAATAGACTCACCTAATTGCCTTCTTTGGAAGATTTGACCGAGGTTGAGACGTGTTCCAAGATTTGGCTCACCAAATGTAGCGTGGTGTCGAGTTGAGCTTGACTATGAACACAGCTACAAGACCAATAAGATCCCCGTAGGCCAATATCAGAAGACAGATTATGGCTGTAGTCGAGATGTATTTGTTGCCGATCTTGTGGTATCGAAAGAATACCGAGATCGTGCCAAAGGAGTACAAGCGTGATTACTAAGCGTAACCGAATTCGTACAGGTTCAAAGTCAACGGAAGAGTAAGTATAATGGCTGTCATTAGCACAGTTAAACAAACGGGCACAGTAAAACAGTCACGGGTCCAATTGGTTATAATAATAATTGTTTTCATTGAACCAATCGCGTTCTGTTAACAAAAGTAGGTCACTACAAGATAACAATGTACATTTAAATTTATGATGAATTATAGAACGTCATTTTACTCGACTACTTTGTTTCAGTTTCAAACGGGCAAGGGCGCGTATCTAACACACCTATACAGTTATTCTTCAGTCCAAACCTTAGTTTTGATCTCACAGATATTCCACAGTAAAGTTTCTTTGCCCGCCCACATCTATTTGATTCATAGTTTCAGGATTGTCGAAGATAACTCTTGCCGGAGTTCAGCGTCTTTTTAAGCTTGGTGATATTAAAAAGGCCTATTCCTTGAAAATTGTCTAGGGAAGTCATGCGAGACACGGTGTCTGCAACTAACTTGTTTGCTCCAGAAATATGTTGCATATTTGAGGCAAACCGAGAGGTGAAGTTCAGTTGTCGAAACTCTTTAGAGGACTAATTGTCTAAAGATGGGCTAAGAAAAAGATGAGAGGTTTGTAAACAGAATGAGGTCTCGTTATTCTACATGATGCTGAAGGTGCTGTGGAACACCTTACACAACTGGGAGTTCGTTGCCCAAGATGCTATTCGTCGATTCAGTGTCTCGCAACCACATCATGAAGAATGACAACGGTTGATGAGTGTTATGTACTGATTGCTTTAAGATTCTTCCGATTACCAAGTCAGGTACGTCTACGGCGATACCAATGGGTGCGTTGATATTCTAGTGTGAGAGTATGGTTACTTTTGCGACAATTTCCCTAAATGCGGAAAATGCTTTTCAGGAGCTATTATCCTAATCAATGATTTTCGAGGTTTCATGAAGTTTGTCTGTTGTGCCTCATAAGGGACGCTTAACACTATCCGAATCAGATTTAAAAACTTGTCAATCCGTTAAACGTTCTTTATCACTTGAATATGGTTGCCTTTGGAAAATACAGAATTGTCGTCTTTCGCTTCGCTAATGGCGAATGCCTTGAGTGTTAATAATGTGCACGAGAATGTCCAGGAGGTTAGTTTTTATCCGACGTTTCTAAGTACTTGCAGTAATGCCACGTTAGTAGGATCATTCGGAAACAAGGCTCATATGCTGGAAATGAGATTCTGATGCACTCTCAAGCTGTCATAAATATATGTGGGCATGAGGTTAAGACTACTCAGTGTCACAGATGAACCTCTCAAAAGCTTGTGCCGTATGTTATGCGTAAAAATTTGTTGAGTCCGAATGTAGTCATGACAGCGGTTCCAAAAATGTCGTCTACATTCATAGGGATTTGGTTATATGCTTTGATGAGTGTGATTTTCAGAAAAAATATTTGTATCTATTAAGGTTGCTGGCATACGAGACTCTTCGATCAAAATATCTCCAATACATTAAAAGGAGAAGCTGATAGCTGTTTAGTAGAGTAGATAGGTTTAGCTAGTATGCAAATGTATCATAATGTGTCACTTTTTAAGTTTTTTAGTCACAGTAGTATTTGAGTTTCATTATAGGGAGGTAAGTGTCATGATGTGAGTGATTTGTTGAATATATTGACTTAGAAGTGCATCCTTTAAAAATAACACGGACAACATTTTTGTCGAATGCTAATGGAAACATTTACTTTTGAGAACCCTCTACATTTATATTGTTATTTCTTGGCCATCACATGATTTCATAATATAAACGTTAGCAATCAAGTACTGCTAAACCTAGAAGGTATAAAGAGAACTGATTGCGGCAATCTCACTGTGTCTATATTTTTCGTTGGTTGTAAGCCATTGGACTCACGACCTGAATTGGAAGTAAGCTGTGTTATGAATTAACTCCACCGAAAACAGCTTCACTAACTAATGTGAGACTCTTATACTCCTCTAGGTAGCCATTTAAAAAGACACCATGCCTCTTTACCTAAGGTTGCGTTCAGATATGCTCTTCTTTTCAACTTTCATCACTTTCTTCCATCCCCTGAGTAATTGCGGGTGGACACTTATGAGGAGTCCCTACACATGAACGGATATAGAATTATCTGATCATGACATTTATAGGGCAAACAATGGTATTGCATGTATTTGACGAGATAAGAGTCTTGGAATAATCTGAACGTAAACCAGTAGATGTGAATTAATCGGAGACTCAAGATCACTAAAGAACAAAGGCATATGTGAACGTACATAAACGTATAATGTATAAGCATTATTTATCGTGAAATTACAATTTTACACAAACACTGTGACTTAATTACAGAGTACCCGGTGAAAGTGAGTAATTTGGAGCATCTGTTTTTTTAAGATGTATCAATTGAAACAGGAGTTAATTTTCTGTATGGTGATTTACTCCTACCGTTGATATAAATACACAAAAGCGTTTTATTTATTTGGTTTTATTAATCTAAAAAACGTAAGAATTCACTACGTCCGAGTTTTTTATTTTATTTGACGAATGTATTCAATGGTGAACTTCTTTGTTTACTTCATTTACCGAGTATATCTACCACCGTCAATTCAAAGGACTTACTGAATGTTGTTAATTACACAAGTTGTTTGCAAACAGTCATCGAAAACCTTATTGGGATAAAGGTGACTCATTAGTTTTCTCCTATCGCAAACATATTTTGTTCTTTGTTAACTACATAATAATTTTTTGTTTGGAAAATATCTCATGAACACTAAGTAAATGGTTGTTTTAAAGTGTTTATGACTCAATCAAAATACTTTATCACTGTTCTTTATATCAAATGATAATATTTTATTTTTATTTTTGTAAATCCGGATGTGAAACTTTGTCGTTAGGTTTTATGGAGTGCAAAACCTAAAGCGATGAAGGTTGTTTATTTATAGCACTATGTTCACATGTTGCAACACTTTGTGTCTATGTGCATACGTTACTTAACGCTTTAGTGGAAAATGTGCATATATATGCCATTTTATAATCATCTATTGCATTGGGTGTGTTGTAAGTGCATAGTACTCACTGAATTATATGCGGATAAGCATAAACCGTGGTTAGATTATTTGCTGATTCACCCAGAATATAAATGTGTTGTGCATAAAATAATGATGATAAAACCAGTTGTTACTTTTTATAGGGGTTGTTAACCCTGAATACACTTAATCATGTAGATAATTGAGGTCATCGAGATATTATCAATAACCCACCAAATTAAAAATAAGCGCAAATAATCAGATTTATTTATTTTGAGTTAATGTTATTTAGCAAAGTTCAGAATCGGATTTCAAATAAAGTGACCACAAAACCTTCTTAGTAGATTTAAGTATAAAACCTAAATGTCAAGTAGAAGGAGGCTCATTAGAACTCACAGTATTTTTATTCAAGTTACTCAATCCAAATACGCGAAATAAATAGGACTCATATCCACTTGCTTTAACAAAAATACGTCTTCCTGGTAAAAGGTAACACATTGAATTGTGTATATGCACAACACATTCAGACCGTGTCTTCCAAGGATATTTGGATGCACTTTGTTTGGTTGATGGCAATTTCTGTTCCTTTTTTCATGAATCGACATCGATACTTTAGACTGACGCTGAATTTTGTGACATATCAGGAATAAATATCCATTCCAAGTTTTGACATAATCCTATTTGTATTAGTTGGCGTTTGAACTGTATACTGAGCGTTAAAAATGCTATCATGTCTAATACAGTATCATTAAATAAACACATAACAGCCTTAGCTTTCGTATATATATGTATTTGGCTGAAGCAATCGCCAGTTTTAGTTATGATGGGGAATTTGTAAATGAATAGGTGGAAGGTAGAAGGTATATCTGAAGCTCATTTCTGAGGTGCGATTTTGCATAAGTGTGAGTTTAGCATTTTTTAGACATAGTTACTTCTAAGAATGGATAAATGTAGCCTCGATATATGGTTTGGAGGAAGTATTAATTCCTATCGCTCTTTGTTATCTATGAAACCGAACATATAAACGTCCTAGACCAAAAGTGTAAAAACTAAGTTTTCAAACGGAAACTCGCATTCACTACATCTTTTAGCCAAACAAGATCAGTTTATCGTTAGAAGACACCAACTGGTAGTAATCATTTTTAAGATAAAATATGCATTTTAAAAAGTCACAAGCAATTATTTCTTCGTTTCAAATCCTAATTTTTAGGGGTCAAAATACCTTTTGAATTCACAACGTTAAAGTATACACAAAGAATAAATCAGCATAAGGTTTCTGGGCTAAGTACTAAAGTAACAATATATTTTTTCACTGTCATACACAAACTATCGCGTTACAATCACCAAGGAATCTTTACTATCCTTTGGTTGACAGTTATATTATCTCTAATAACACTCAGTTTTTGAGTCCAAATCTATGCTAATTGTACAGCAAAACCACTAATTCATAAATAACGTCAATGTTAAATATGTTTTATCTATACTTTACATGAATGTTTTTTTCAGTCAACTTTACAATCATAACATAAATTCATAATGAAAGATAAATAACAATGTTTTTTCCCTTTACATTCAACGAATTTCGTTTCTGCATCAAATATACATTCTTCTATACCATGAATTATTTTCAGTCATTTGTTGTTTCTTTCCTTGATACTTTTAAGTGAGACCTTATTTTATCACATCATTTGTGATTGTGTCAAAATGTGCTTCTCAAGAAAACGCAAGTACTTCAGTTTGTCAATCAGAGCCACAAATATACCTGACTAAAAATATGCGACTGAAAAAGCAGTTGTTTTGAAACGGTTGTTCATAGTCACTTGTGTATAGCTTTGTTAAATTTTTGTAATCCTCGCTCCATTTAAAAAGCGTTTATCAAAATGTTCTAAATTATCAATTGACTTCTGAGTAACCACTGAGGGTAATCACAAACAAACAATCATCAGCTCCGTCACTAAATTTGTCACATTACTAAATTAATTATCTTTACTATCAATTAGAATAAACATTTGTCTATGTATCTTCACACAGAAGATCTGTGTCAATAAATGGGATTAAGCAGTAAATTAACAGACAATATTTTGCCGATTGCGTCGGCGGTTTTGCAAATATGGAAAATAATGATGTTACTGATGAAAACTTTGAACTCTCAAAGAATTTGTGTAATTTTGCGGGTGTAATGTGTTATGAAAAACACTTTGCAAGTGGATCAGGGGGTTTCAGGGAGACTCGCAGAAACTGTAATTTAGATACAAGGTTTAAACGACTACTGACCTCCTCTATTAATATTAGAATCAAACATGGACCTAAACTTGTAATTTCTGATCACTGATTCATCCTCCGGACAATTTCTACAAAGCCTAATTTGGAGAATATTTTTGTTAGCATGATTTCAGAAAATCTGTCAAATGTGAAAAAAACTGTAAAACCGTCAATTTGAGTACCTTCAAGGATGTGTCAAACGGTGGAAGTAGAAAGAGTGTATTTCAATGCATAAAAAGCATTTAAAAAGAAATAATATTAGTGCGTTTTACATCTTATAAAGTAAATTTTTCACCATCTTAGTTCACAAATTTATTTTACAAACTAAATGTGAGTTCTTTGAACAGTCAAATGTACATCAGTACGTTTGGCCTAACTGACGTTTTGGATTATTTGTCTTCAATGAACCAAAACCATTGGAAAAGGCTTTTGAACTTATAAGTAAAGTATAAGCTTTGATTTTAAGTGAGTGCTGGTTGTTTGGTTATAGAGACCGTAAACTTGAGTTATTTGGATGATTTCTTCTATGTCGTAAATAATATTGCAATGTGAATTAGTATAATGCTGACCAATTATACCAAACTGTGTTGCGGTTAAATTACCATTTTCTTGGCCAGCCATAAGAAATCTAATGCGGGCCTTATACTATTTCAAGGCTATCGGTCACCCATTATTTTAAGTCTCAAAGATTACTTTTAACAAATATTTTGCAGTATCGGAATTCAAATCGCAATATACATCAGGACTTTTCAACATAACTGTTTAATTTATCTTACTAAAGGGTCTATAAATATTTAAATGACTTTAAAACATGTACTACTTGTTCATTACCTTTAGATGAATTTAAAAAAGCGGAAATATGGTATGTTAAATTTTTGTAGCAATATGATACTATTATCTATCAATATATAAGTAAATAGTATTTTTAAGCGAAAATGTTATTTGTTGAATTGATGTGAAATTGTCATCTAAATATTGTAATCTAGTAAAAAATGTGGAAAGGCCAGTCGCATGATAGCTAAAGCGGTTGACTTGCAATTAATCAATTTTATGTTCAACTCCCACACTCACCTAGTTTGGTTTGTGAAGTTAGGCAGTATTAGAAATTTTCATGCTTAGACATTGGCATAAAGTTAATTATACAATACAGTATTGGTAAATGAGATAAATCAAGTGGAATTAAATTGGTATCTTTTCTATATATTTTATATGCATAACGAAATTAATCGGATGAAAACTAATTAAATTCACGAATTATTCTATTAAATATTCAAGTCACTTACATGTTTTCTAATTGTAAATTTATTTTCTAGGTTGTATTTCATTTTTAGCTTGTAAATGCATGCGTCATTAGCTTCTATCGGCAGAGCTTGTACAATTCAAGAAGATGAAGATCCGCCAGCTACATCTTTGGAGAGTTCATTTGACATGCAACAGGTTGATTACATTGAACAAAGTTTAAGATCATGTACGTCTTCAGTGGATGAGTTAGTCACACTCGCATTATCATTATGTCATTCGGTTAAAATATTACCAAATTTTAATAAGATCGTTTTACAAGAACATCCTTGTGGAACCAAACGGAGTGATTCGGTAAGACCATTTATTAGTATTTATGCTCACTCAATACATTTTATTATTAATTACGTAAGAAAAAATGCGTGTTCCAGTTGCAATGAATGAAAGTTTCCCGTACATCCTATCAACGTTGACTTTTTATCAAAAATTACGTTCACTTAAGTCAAAAACTCAAAAACTAAGATATTTTACACTGTAAACCCTTATTTTATCATACCTTTTTAATGCTTATGTTAGTTCATGCATAACTAATGAAAATCACTAAGTCAAGGTGTTCAGTTCAACCACTGAATGGTATCAGCTGGAAAATCACGAAAAATCATGGAACATAAGAAAATCTTTTTCTTCTTCTTAGTTGTGTGAGTGATCAATCCAAGAACATTTGGATTCCAAAACGACCGGAAACCAATCAGTCAGTCATAATCAACGTAGAGCTTGGAAAGAACAAAGACACCTTCAGATTACTAGGTCGAGATTCAATAGTAGATACTTCAAACTTCTGTTAAATCATAATAATACGTGACGGTCATTTACCTCTTAGTTTCTGCGAAAATTACTTTGACTCACTTTAATCTATTCATACAGAAAAACATTTGGTTATGGAAACACATTTTGTGTTTAAATGTTTTAACTATACGACATGGAAATTTCGGGGAAAAAATTGATTTTAAAATCGCTAAGAAAGTTTAAAAACTGACAAGCTGAAATATTTCAAATAAAGAGGAAAATTTCAAACTATATCAATTTCGGTAATTAGGAATCAATATTTTAAACTTGAGTCTGTGAAGATTTTAACTATGGAATCCGGGTAGTTTTAATCAATCCTTTACAGGCGTCTCCGGTGATTTTTACTTAACAGTGCAACACTCCATTTTATTATAGACTGCCACAAGTAAAATTATTAATAAGTAGGATTTTACAACTTCAGAAAATAACATCGTTATGAGGAAACGTTTCTTCACTGAAACGTCTTTATCTTGTTTTGAGATTATTTTATTTCTTCACTCATAACTAGCATACAGTTTAGATTAAAAAATTTAAATTTCTTATTTAAAAAAAGATACATTTTTTTTCAAATATTTCAAATTATGCTTGTAGGAAATGAATACTTAATATGAATAAACGTGTTGTACGGCCTAAATATATGTGAAGTTCTGATTAATGAAACTGCTTGTAACCTAATACTTTTAACAAATTTATACAAAAATGATTGTCGGTGATTTTTGGCTCTGTCTATTTTCTGTCAGTTGTGAATACATTAGAATTCAATTACGCAGAGCTAAATACAAAGTCTATAACATCTCACTTGACTTACAAGTTGTATGTGTGGAGCTAACTAAAAAACCTTTGAGCATAGAAACACGTTGAAGTTGTTCACCACTGCATGTTCAATTTCTAATATATTTATTAAGATATCTCAGTTAAAATGTAGATAAACAAGAACTTAGTGCGTTTATACATTATGTGCTTATAACTCCATATCGTATCAAGGATAGATTTTGCACTTAACTCGGTTTTGTGTTTTAACTTCTATTATAGATACTTAATACAGATAAATATGACAACAATAAAAACCAACCATCATCACCATTGGATGAACATATCAACTCATCAACAATCAACAACCCTATTATATGTGTACATACTTCCTCTAATACTTCCAGAACTAAATCAGATGATTTAAACTATTTTACTTATTTGCATCGTTTCTATTTAAAACTATTGAACGTTGTACATCTTGATACATTAAACAATACTGTAAAAGAGTTAAGTTTAGGTTTGCTTGCATTACTGGCTCATTCAGAAACTGTTCTCATTAAAGAAACCAATTTATTGGATTGTATTCTATCAAAATTTTCTATATCAAACAATAATATTTATTCTTTTCAAGCTCTTTATGAGAAAAATTCTTGTAATATATTAAATGATTATCATGAGTTTTTATTAACAACATTATTACATTTTAATGATGAGAGTGGAGATGATGACATTGATGATGATAATAGTAATGACACACTTATTACCGGTTATACAACAACACATTATGATTATTCCTCACAATTAGGTGAACTTAGAATTTTATGCGAAAGTTTAAGACAATGTTGGACACAGATGAAACGTTTAGCCAATGAACAACGAAATATGCAATATCGTTTAAATCAAATTAATGCTTCAAATAACTGTGATACAATTTTAACAAAACTCTTTTTAGATGCATATAGAATTAATTCCATGTACAGTAAATTACTAACATTAGCTATTATAAATTCTGCTCAATATTTAATATATTCTGGTGTATCATTATTAGGTTATATGGAATTATCACGTTTTACACATGATGAACTATGGGAAATGACACGTGGTATTGAAGAGTTAAGTATTTTACGAGGGCATTTACATAATACATTCCAAATATATCGTAATACACATTTATATAAATTAATATGTAACGACGAAAATATATTTCATTCTGCTCAGATTTTATCACCAACTACCGATACTACTAGTATTAGTAGCACTTTTAAACCATTATCACAACTTATTTCATATAACTTAATAAATGATCCTGTTGATGTTGTATTTTCGATGTCTGTTGGATGTTTATTTTCACTATTTGCTAAACAACGTTCCTTGCGTATTGCTCATCTAATCTATTTACACATGTTTAAATTTCCAAAGCTCTTCTTTAGTGAACCTGATAACAATCATACTAATATCGATTATAATCATAATTTATCAAACAAAAATTTATTACAACAAGAATTTCAGAAATTCATTCAAGATAATCACGGTTTTCTAGCTTCAGACTATCTTCGAAATGAATATGAATTTATATCAAATTTCTTAGATATACTATCACAATCAACTGATCTATTATATCAAGTACAGAAATTACAACTTGTGTATACATCAGCTGCCGCTACAGCACAAATAAGACAAGTGGAAGCCGAACAACGATTAAAAACTCTTAGTAACACTAATAATTTGGATCCCTGTTCTGTCTCCTCTTCTACCTCCTCCTCGTCTTCATCTATATCACACGCTGTAAGTGTTGAAGGTAAACATGGTGTATTAGTACGTGCTCCTTCAACAAATCATCCAAATATGATAGAAACAAAGGAGATCATTTCTAAAACATCTCGGAAAACAGATATTAATCATAGAACTAACATTTTACCTAACTATATTTCACGTTATCAGGATGCATTACATCGTTCTAGCACATTAGATCGATATGTGGCTACTGGATCAGCTGTTTCACCTTATTCATCAATCAGTAATCATACACTCGGTAATGATTTTACTAAATTACAATCGGATAATCAAGCAAAACCAGACAATCATAATAACAAAAAAGACAAGAATGATTCTGCCATTCACACTGCAACTGAATGTAGTAGTATCACTGATGATCAGGAAAAGGAACAGAGTAAACCTAGGGTTAATTCTAAAAAAGGTGTACAGTGGAGTGATCATCGTGAAGTTAGTACACGACATCAAATTATAGGTCGATATTTGGAGATGACATGGAAGTATTCAGAGAATACGCTAACAAGTTTATTCCTATCCACGTCAAGCACGATTATTAAACAGAGAAACGGTAACAGTAATAATATAACTGTAAATGAACCTAAATTATGCAAGTCTAATTTAATTATGCCATCAATCGAACTTTTAAGATTGGGAAATAATATTTGTCAGTTGACAATCACATCAGGTAATTTTCAAATGATTTTGGTTAATCAAATACTTTTACTACTACTACTACTATTACTACTACTACTACTACTACTATTACTACTACTACTACTACTACTACTACTAATTTTCTGTTATTCGTAATTATATAGAACGTTGGATAAGATTTAATGGTGAACTAAAATTTTATTACTACTATATAGTAATTTTTTTGATTCATCTAAAATTATTCTTGTGGATTCGTTTCCATGAAGACGTTCTTCATACTAACTGACAGAAAATAGAAATTATGTGCGGTTGTCGACAGTAATATGTCCTGATAATAAATCGATAAATCTGAAGTAATGTCATTGTAACAAATAAATCAATACTTGGTTGACTCGATTTAATCAAAAGTGACCAGTTAATGAGTTCAATAATGTCGGATTTGAAACAGTTCTTTATCAAAGGAATTTAAAGATGGTTGATTAGTGTTACAAATCGATCCCAGTTAGAAATGTAAACCTTTACTTACCCAGACAGTAGTTTAGAAGTTAAGCGCTTATCGCGAGACCTGAAGACCCTGGGTTGGATTCTTGGTGAGGTTGCGAATACCTAGAGCTGAGGAGTCTTGTCCAAGGACTCAAAAACTGTCTAATAACTCCTAGTTTTCAACACTTATCTGACTAAGACCATTATGTGATGAAAAATTTAACAAAGATCTACTAGTTATTTTGATTTTCAGTCTTGTACAGCTTTCTTTCATAACACGACACCATGTCATACATGGATCGCCTGTCCTGTTTTTCCAACCCGTCCCAGAGTCGGAAAATAATTCAGGATATGGAATCCGCTAAGATGACATTCATAGGACATGTCCAACTCGCCGAGGTCAGTGTCTCAAGATAGTGACACCAATTTAATTATCGTAGCTGTGCCCGAACACACGGTGAAGACCGTCTGAATTACTAATGCGGTGTTGTCACTAATGTCAGAAATCCTTCAGAGACAACGATTGTCAAACACAGAGTCGTCTAACATCAACTTGGAGAGGCCAGGTTTCACAAGCATAGAGCAAAACTGCTCTCACCGATATTTTACAACCAGACTAACATCACGAAGGCGCTAAAGATGACCCAGATTGGTACAAGCTGTACAGAATTCAGCCGGTAAAATATAAAAATGCTTAGAGGCTGTTACGGATTTAATTGAATATCAGCTATATTAACGAAAACATCATTCTTTAGGATTAGTTAGCTAAATAAACAAATATTTAGGTTTTATGCATTCATTAGTGGTTTACTTTTGCGATGTTTATTCATGATTCGTTTCATCTAATAAATTTTAGGCATTTAGTTACTATCATTAATCTGTAACACTAAGTTTTATAAAGTTTAGTCTGTAAACCGATACATGCTTTCTCAGTTAAATATCTAATGTTAATTATTTAAAGAAGTCTTCAAATTTATCGATAATGACAATAGTATTAAAGAGAAAATGTTATTAACGATTATTACATTCTTCAACCATTTAGTAATGAAAACCATTGTCTGTATATTCTTTCTTCATTCCTTTTCATGTATCAAGTTGTGTGAAGTAGTATTGTATTAATAGAGTTGATTAAGTTCTATCCTATGTAATGTTAATCCTACACTTAGTAACCTAGTAATTACTTTTAAGTACATTAAAAAACCATAAATTCACGGTTTAATCACTTATACATTTAGGCAAAATTGAAGTCATGTAACTTTTTATTACAGAATAGACATACTTCACGTTTAACACGAAACAATCATCACTACAACCCGTGAACAAAAATTGTTTTATGTGTGAAAATTATATTTGATATAATCTCAGCGATTGAAATTTAAATAATTCCGACGTTTCGTCCAGCTAACTTGTCTGGACTTCTTCAGGGTAATAGTCAAAATCAAAATCATCAAAGAAATATATAGCTTTTAATAATCAAAACTATACTGTATTAAACCAATCAAATTTGGATGACTTCTCTATACTCGGCGCCTAATTTCTGTCAAACATTTTCCTGTTAACTAAGGCAAATACAGGTTTTGATATATTCGGATTGAGTGTAAGAGTTGAATTTAGAACACTCGTTTTGTCTTGTTTGTGACTCGTCGAATGGACATATTTTAATCCTACTACTACTAGTTGTAGCGAACCAAAAAATTTGAAATTTGCAAAAGAAAGGCTATATCAAGTCAGTCAACACAAGCGACATATATACCAAAAAAATAACCAATAAGTGGCCTTGGATATTAGTGACAGGATAAGATGTACCATTCAAATTTAATCAGTGTTAATAATATGATGAAAATTTTCCAAGAGTCAGAACTAAACAACTTCACTGTCTCACCTTTTCGGCCTTTTCTTTTCTAAATTATCCAACAAAATATAAGTATTTGACTGAAATGCTTTTTTTTGTAAAAGTGAATTTCACTTTGATATTTTCTGCTTACATTACACGTGTTAATTTTCAGAGAAACTAGTGGTTTGATAGTTCGAGACAGTATTAAAATATTGTTAATCGATTAAACATAAAGAAGGCTAATGTAGTGAATGTTTAACTTTCCTTTCCAAAAATGTTTTTTTAAAGAAAACTGTATTTAGATTTTAGGTGATGAATCACTTAATGTAGATTGTTTATTTCCCAGAAATATTCATACGTGTCTGTATTTCTATGAGCGTTTTTTGTTTTTTTTTTTTGTGACGGAGAGTGATATGGATGTTAGATAGACAGTTGAGTATTGGTAAAATTAGCGAATGCATATTAACTTTAGCTTTAATATTCAAAAGCTTGCAACAGAATGATTTAGGATAGGCTAAAAAAGAAATAATCAAAAAAGTATTTCTGATCCCAGTGTACCTGAATATCTCTTGTAGTTTAAAGAATGACGTAATTGAATGAAACTTCAAAGAATTATGAATAAAAAAGTTTTAATTTAACTCTAAAAAAGTCGAACTGTTGGAATATCTGGTTGTTTACTTACAAATGAATATGTGTAAATTAAATTATCTCGGAAACAAATTGGGTTGGTAGAATACAAAATTTTGTTGAATTAAAATAAGTCGATTTACTAATCTTGCTACATTATTATGCAGCTCAGTAATTGATAAATGCAGCACATACTTTCCATAAAGATCCTTGTGTTCTAGGTAAAAACAGAAACTTCAGTGCCAATGCGTGTTCACATGTTTAGTTTTCGTTGATAGTTTATTGTTCTTGATAAATATTATTCACTACTATAGATACATTTTCCTTAGTTGTAGCAAGTTCCTTCACTGGATGCTTTTAAACTCATATATAAATCATGAACAGTAATATAATCCCTCATTTAACCACTTGGTCAACTTTGTACATTCTTCAACTCTTCCATTTAATTCCAAACTGCAGTAACATAAATGTTTAATATAATCGACAATTTACCTTTCGTCTCCTTTCAATAAGTATCATTTCAATGTTACAGCTATTAGGGTGTTATATTATAGGGATATTAGGTTGGATATTAATTCAACTGCTGCAAAATGTGAACTTTTGGATTGTATCAAGTGACTCAACAATGATTATTATTTTTATAAATTTGCATGATCTAAACTTAGTGACGTAATCATATATCTTTTTATTACATTTATAAGAAGTATCTTTGGGCCAAACCTCGGGATTTTCGACAGCTTATTCTGTCGAAAATGAATTTGACTGGCTAATATTAATGTTCGTACTGTCATTGTCTGAACATTTATTTTGATAGTCATTCACCTTAATTTAAATCTTGGTTAAAAGTTCATTTCTGATAGTAATTTCAGATTCAACCTAAAGCAAGAAGCTCAATTCTACCTACTAAATCTCAGAATATGAGAATGAATTATCACTGATCAACCGTTGAATATAAAACATCGTGCGGAAATCAGTTAGCTACGGCCAGGTTGCTTTTCTTAGGTGGATATGAAGATTACTAAAAATGATCTTAATAACTCATTCATTGTTTAAAGATTATTGTACTTTGTGATACACAGTCTTTGTTTCACAGTGACAAATAACTTATCATGTAATGGCAACAAAATTAAACTTTTATCCAAATTACATTTTAAAAGACCATACAGTATTGCTTCAAGTGGAAGTCATTTGTTAACTCACATATCTTTCTCAGTAAACGTACTTATCAAGCCTCCGAGTTTTAGTTTTATTTGTAAATTTAATTAGTAATTGTTTACCGTAGAAATCCTACATATTATATGACTTTGTTTAATTATTAATCTGAACTGGGCTATATAGTTTATTATTACCTAATACGACGATGTTAAGACTTAAGTAAATTTTATTTTATGATAATTATCACAAGACATGATTATAATTTCAAATCTCAAGTAAATAACTGCACACTTACACAGAATGTATATCTAGTATGTCTTGCTTTTGAAATATTTCCCTAGCTCATATTATTCTATTATGAGAATGAATTTTAATTTAATTAGTTACTAATATGCATTATCCATATCTCTGATTATAGTCTTGGATTCACGATGATTAGTATTTTGATAACGAATAAATGAAATAGTTATTGTTTAGTTTATTTATTTATTTTTATTCATTAATCTATTTCTAAATTACTACTTATTTCAGTTAGTAACATTGAAATATTAAAATTTTAAATTATACGAGAAAAAGAGAAAAAAATTAGTTAATTGATTTCAACATTAACCAAATGATTTTCATCATAAAATTAACATAATATTCATAGTAATATTAAGTATAGAAGAAAAACAGAAAGTAGGTTAGTGAAAATAGTTCAATATTTTCTCGTTTATTTTAGGCAAAGAATTTTTCAGTCAATATATATATATATATATATATATATATAATCTTTTAACAGGATTAGTATTGTTATCACGTGATATTTTTGCTATTGTTATTATGAGTATCATCATGGCTGTTTTCTTTCTAATTATTTCCGCTAATTTTTACTGTTATTATTCTCAATTTAATCTGTTTTAAGTGAAGTATTTTTTTATTAAAAAAATCTAATTGATTCTGTAATTTCACACATTACTGGTTAGTTACTGTCATCATGAGAAATTTCTCAGTTTCTTGTCAACTGCTAACATCCTAAACATAATAGTTTTAATATTTAGAAATCAGCTTATATACCTTATATCATAATATCGAAAATTCATGTTATTCTGCTACGTTTATTGTTCTTGCTTAATTAAACTTAATAATAGGGAAAAATTTACGGGATTTGATGATTTCTGATCATGGAATCATTGATACGCATTTTGTCCTATTTGGAACTAGTCAGCTGAATGTTTATATTTATGGCAAATGTGCTCTCAAAATTTGTATTCTGTAGAACTAACACTACCAGAACAATATATTAGTTTTCATTAGTGTGAAATTTACCAACATAAATTTGGGACCCTTTAGAATGTTGTTAAATCTATAATGAATTTGATTATATAGACTCGTCTGTTACTTATTGGTAAACAGCTGTTGTGTTACGGTCTTTATGGTCGATTGTATGAATTATTGAAAGTTCTCGATCAGTGTTCAAACTCATCTGATAATAACTATAGTAAATATATTAAGTGTTCTCTATTCGTTTATTCGCAAATTGAGGTCATTAGTGAGAACTTCTTGATTCGTAACTTGTTTTACTATTAGCGTACGTAAGTTTATAAATTTATAAAATTTTCCCAGTTACCCAACACAGAAGGGTCAAAGAAATAGATTCTTCCTATTATTAGGAATGTTTACAATTTATATGATGTCAATGCTTAATTACAATGTGTTATGTTACACTATTTGACACTAAAAATCACATGTACACATTAATAGTTGAATAGTTACATACAACTATCAATATTTTTATACCTTCATACATTCACTTTAATAAAATAATACTATATTTATGTATGTGATGCATACACTTTGTGATATAGCAAATTTAACCTTTTTTATTATCTTACTCAAATGCTTAAATTAAAAGAATGATCTTAATATGATTCCTAAAAAAATTTAATAGTTTTTAAATGATTCACCATCTGCTATCTCATTGTGATGAATATTAACTTTACATTAGTAGTATATCACGATAGAATTTATAATTTAATGAATAACAAATTTCATTTTTTTCAATTTGAATTATACATTCATATATATCTCTATTTAACAATAATTCATAAAGTTTATATACTGACGATGAAATCATGTTTATATTTTATTTATTTATTTTTATTTTTTTTTATAAATGATAAATTTTAATTATTAACTATGGAAACATTTGAGTAAAAATTAATTTAGACAGAGTATATATATTTTTCCCTACATAAGTGCTAATTCAAAAATCATTGGGTTATTAATTTTAGAACGTAACAAATTTTTTTAAAAATAAGTTCAGTTTTGGATAAGAGATTTAAAACTCAAATTATAACGGATTTTAGAGTGATTTCATGGTGGATTGAATGTTGTGATTTATTCTTTTATTTCTATATTATTTATATTATCTTCAAACTAATAAATAATAAAATACATATTGTATGGGATATGTATTCCGTACAGAGTTAAAAAATGTTAGGATAACATCAGTGAAAACCAGTGGGTATCAGACAGAAGTTTGGTTGTGTATAATAACTTTTAAATACCACAAAACTACAGTCCAATTGTCAATTTATTGAAAATTTAAGAATATTTGAAATCTAACATGTTAGGAAGTTTATATATAAAGTGTGACACTATAAGAATTCCAAAACGACTTATCGTAATGAATTAATATTAGCAAGATAACCTCTGTAAACCATGTTGGACTAGAGAGTTACGTTCTTCTAGTTTGGGATTTATAAGCCGTGGATACTTAATCCCTATGTAAATGAACCAGGTCGTTAAAATCTTGCAACGATTCTCTGTCAAAACGTAGTGATGTACATTGTTCAACCTCAGTCAAGTACCAGGATAACTCAATCCACAATCAGTTGCATCAGCGAATTAATGTCTCGTTCAAAGTTTGATTGGATCCATAAGTCACAGTTTTGTTATCGTAAAAAGTATACCGAAATTTTGACACACGTCAGTGATGTTTGTTTACTTACTCAATAAACATTAATCCAACTATTCAATTTTAAGTGACATTACAAAATTGCGATCACATGTCTGCAACTTATTTTCATCTGACTATAAATATCGATTCACGCTTGATTAAATCGAGTTGGCTCACACGCCTTCTCCAATCTGCTTTGCTCTTCCCTCTTTGTTTCATCTCCTTGGTTGCCTGTTCAAATCAATGAGTGAATGAAAGATACATATTCAAAATCCATTATCGTATTTGGCTTATTTAATTCCGTTATTCATTAACTCGGATTAAATCGATAATTATGTATGAGGATAGCCGACATGTCTATTTCGATAACAATCAATCATACGATATTACTGGAGTCAGATACTGGGCCACTAAGTATTGTAGACTTGGATTACAAAGCTGTTATCAACTTTACTTATGAAGTTATTTTGTTATAATAAATTGAGATGGAAAACAATTCACTAAGATACTTTACGTTATCTATTTGTTCGTTGGGTTACAGAGAAAAACTCATCAATATAAAGAAAGTCAGTTAGTTTTTAATTAAATAAATACACCAGACATAGTCGTTTGAAAATATCTGAATGTCTTGAAACTACTAAAAATACGAATGGCTTGAGAAAAAAATTAATTATCACATTGTGTTATTAAGTTCTTAGATTAGTAAAGAAGATATGCTTCATCCTTCAGAGAAACCACAAATGTATACTTCATTTAATTAGCAAGAGTAGTAATTCGAAACAAGACTGAATTTTGAATTCGGGTGTAGTTGAGACAAAACTTGAGAGTTTAATTATTTAAGCCCTTAGGTCAAGTAATTTCAGATCTGAAGACGCTATTTCAAATCGAAAAGAAAGAAAGCAAACTCCAGAAGTTTTTGTGTTATTTAGTTCACTGAACTAGATAATTTCATTGCGGAGCATTCATTGTCGTTTTGAACATCAACAGGGCCCTTGTCATGTGGAAGTGAGCTTCTTACTTATTTCACGAGTGGTGAATCGGTTTTTCCTGGTGGTTTGCGATTGCTTGTCATCTTAGGCTTTGTTATCTTCATTTATCTTTATATTAATATCACCTGTCTTCTTCGGTTGACTTCTGACTATGTAATTGATTGACCTTTTACGTTTGGGCCGGTAGATCTTGTTTTTCGATGTGTCTATTGATTTCTGAATGATGGGTTATATTTAAAGGACTGAAAATTTTGTTTTAGGCTGCTCATGTTTGTTTCGAAATCCTGAAAATGAAATAGAAAGAATATTTATAACAACAGGGTTGCTAGGTTACTAGTAAACATAGGATATATGAGAAAGAATCGATGAATAAAATAACCTAAATCCTCATTTCTCGTTTCAATTGAACAAACGACTATCTATCCTAACAACGCCTTTCAGGTAATCACCACTTATTTATTCTCTTCACTGATCTCCTATTTTAAATTTCACAGTACCCTTGTTTTTATTGAATAAAATTCTCAAATGCTTTGTGGAAGTTTGTAATACCCAACGTTATGACTTATTCACATAAACAATAAACTCATTTTGACTGAATAAAAGGTAATATATTGAGATAACTCTGAAACGTATTAATTAAGAAATTACTTGTCAAAAACAGATAAGAACTATTATAAAATGATTTAATTATTCTACTGAAACCATTTTCTCATGGATATAAGTGTAGAAATTTATCAGCGAGTGCATGAAACAAGAATCATTAGCTTAGTGATCGAAGCGTTTAGGATTCAACCGGTACATCACAGTTTTGAACACTTCATTAAATTCTGTCCACACAGTGCTGCTGTTACTCAGATAATCTGTATCTCAAAGCAAAATACATAACCTATTATTAGTAAATGAGCTAAATAATTATGAACTTAGATATTTGTAATTCAACCTGTTGTTGATATTAGAGGATTTTTAGTTAGAGGAAAGATAATGTAATAAATCTTGCCGTAATTACTTATGCCTGTTACTCCTCGTGGAGGAGCATAGGTTATCCATCAGCACTCGCCATCCAACCCTGTCCAGGGCAATCCTTTCCAGATCTTTCCAGTCATTATTCATCCTTTTCATATCTGCTACTATATTCCGACGTAATGTGTTATTTGGAAATCTGGCAGTAATATATATAAAATGCATCCAGTTTTTGTCTGTTGATCTCTTGATGTTCATCAACATTTTTAAAATCTTTTTTTGATTTTATATTAGATTTCTTTCCTACTGGCTTACTACCAGTGCTTAGAAAACAAGCATTGAAGTGTAAAGAATATGCTATTTGGCGAAACTGGTATGAAGGTATGTGTTTATATTTATAAAATTCTGTATATATATATATATATATATATATATATATATATCAAGACATTTAATTTAATCTAAATCAAGTTGATTTATAACTGCTATTAAGCTGACTGACGAAAAAACTATTTCTCAGACTAAATTATTCTTCTCAGTCTACAAGCAAATAATTATATCTGATTAAAAGTATAAAAGTCTTTATGTGTAAAAAGAAAGTTAAAACGTTTTTGGGTAAAATGAGCTACTTTACTGCAAATACTGCTAAGTGCTAAGATGAACAATGATTTCCTTTTTTCCCTGTTCTACTTTTTATATACAAATATTTGATTATGGTCCAACTCTATAGAAAACGGTTTGCCCTGTCTAAACTGAATTTAGAGATGATATGACGTAAATAAACAAGCAAGCATTAATTTAAACAGTATTTTATGCATAGTGTTTGTGGGCATTTCACTGTCCTTCAGTAACCAAAAGAAATTAAGGTTTTTCTATTTGAGCCTATCTAAAGTAAAACCGATTAATTAAGTAATGTTACATGGTTTATAATCGAATACCACGCAAGTTTTTTCTGTTTGAAACCGAACTAAGTTATTTATGAAAACTCGTTCATATGATCGTATAAATTCAGTACTATTGAGGTGCGATCAAATGATCAATAATTGTTTAATTTATTCCGTATTCAGTCAACTTTGTCAATATGAACATGAGAATGTGAGTTAACAAAACATTGATGATTTTCAACATGTGATAATCATGATCATTTTATCTATTTAGCTGTCTCTAGGACAATCCTCCTAATCATCACTCTAGGTGACTCTGACATTATACAAATCATTGTAAATGAAGAAAGTAGATTACTTTTGGGTGGACTGTTTCCTTCGTTAAAGCATACAACAAAACGACAGTTGAGACCGTTTGTTTATATAGAGAAAAATCATCATGGAACCATCTTATTGATAAATGAATGGTGGAAAATTTATATTAATTATAATGTACGTCGTTAAACAACAGTCATCAACATTTTAATCATCTAATATAGGATTTGCCTAAGTAGTCCAACTATAAATAATCATAAATTTAAAAGATCATATTTCGAATAAAATGTCACTATTATTCTTTGAATAATAAGTGTAATCTAACTTACATTATAATTGGATGAAACGTTAGGAAATGAGACAGAATAAACAACTATAATCAAAATAAACAATTTAATTAATATTGAGTGAGGTATTATAGTTTATAAATACTTAAGTAGTAACAGCTCATAACTTTGTAATTTCTTTATGAATGGAAAGTTTGTGTAAGCTAACGAAACCCAAGTATAGTTTAAAGTCAGTGAATTTAAACTGCAACCTCTTATACCAACAATGAGAGAGTAAACTAAACATCAATTATTAATGCATTGTTTACTAAAAGATAAACTAATAAATTTTAGCAGTTGAATTCATGAGTCAATACAAACTAGAATACTGTTGAAAACCTGGTAGCACTGGACGTCCGTTTTGTCCTAGTATGGGACTCCTTAGCAGTTCGCAACCAAAATACTAGAGTGTAACGGCCGTCCAATGCTTCCAGGTATTTAGTGGTGGTCTAGCTTAGAATGACTCGTGAATTCAACTGTTTAAATATTTTTTTATAATTTTGATGTGAATAAATCACTTTATCATAATTTTATGTTCATTAAATTAAACTTTTCATCAAAGAATCGTATAACTTGTTAGTTTTGTTAGCGGTATACGATAGGGAGTGAAGCAGTTGAGCGTGTCGACCGCTTCGCTTATCTTGGGGTTATCATCAGCCTGTGGTCTGATGAATGATGAAATCCCAGCATGGATAAAGAAGACTCGACTAGCTTTTGCCAACTTGCGTCATTTGGAGCGTAGGTGAGATATCTGTCTACCAATCGAAGGACAGGTTTACTGAGCAGCAGTTTATTCTGTCCTACTTTATGGCAGGGAAACTTGGCCAGTAAGAGTAGAGGATATTCGTAGGTTACTAATATTCGATCATATGTGTCTTCGAGGCATTCCTCGTATGTCCTGAGGTCAACGAATAAGTAATGTAGTTGTTTGGAAACAGGTACTAGGTACGGATGACAAATCAATCGATGAAATAGTGAGATTTCATCAGTTCAGATGGCTGGGATACGTGTTATGTATGCCTAACCACCGACTTTCCCGACGTGCGATGTTTTATGGTGTAGGAGTAGGTTGGAGGAAAGCTAAGGGCGGCCAGATCAAAATATGTCACAAATTCATGAAGTCACTGACAAGTGGACTAAGCCATGTTGGTAGGTGTAGACTACCTGCTTGGGATCCGCGAAATGATATCAACCGATGGTTAGAGACCTCGAATGACATGACTGGAATTCGTTTGCAGTGAAATAGGTGCATCCACTCTTTGTGTTCTCCCGAATTCTAATCTATTGAATTCTTCATGTCCCTTTTTTTCTCTTTCCAGATTTATTTCGCCCGATTCTACTCCTTGAATAACATCTTCAAACCCTAATGTATCTGATTACTGCTTATACTTTTACTACCTCTACGACTATGGGATTTGAATCGACAATTGTATCTGTGTGCTAATGTGGTATGGTAACTCGAACTGATGTACGTACGTACGAAGTTCTACATTGTTGCTGACTGACTGACTGGTATATGAAGTTGCTTACTGTATTGAACACTTAATATTACATGTAACTAGGTTTTAAATCTAGTTACGAAGTAAATTTCTGATACAAAATTACAATAATAACAATTGAAACTAGTAACTTCAACTAGATTTAATTTTAATGGTTGAGATCATGAGCCGGTTGAAGCTAGACCACCATGGCAAACCTGGAAGGTCCTGCGCTCGAATCTTGCAAGGGAAAAGATCAAGAGTGCGCACTGCTAAGGAGTCCTACAATAAGACGAAACGGCCGTACAGTGCTTCCAGGTTTTCCATGGTGGTCTAGCTACAACTGACTCATTATTTCAACTATTGAAATCACTATAATATACACATAACCACTTCTGATATTATTCAATATATGCTCACTAGTGACCAGCTTCAAGAGGTATATCCTGGAGTTCTAGTGAGAAGCAGTGACCCGTACAGTTCAACCAGATCTGCGGTAACATAATAACTCACTGATGAAAATGGTGGATTTGTCGCTCAGTTTCTTGGATAAGTTGAAATTAGATATTAATACCGTTGGATGCCGGCCGGTTCAGCGGTCTAGTGGTTAAGTGCTCGCGCGCGAGACTGATAGGTCCTGGATTCGAATCTCATGGGGGGCGCGATCGTGAATGCATACTGCTGAGGAGTCCCACAATAAGACAAAACGACCGTCCAGTGCTTCCAGGTTTCCTATGGTGGTCTAGCTTCAATTGATTCATGATCTCAAACATTGAAATTACTATAATATCTACAAAACCCCTTCCAATAATTCTTATCTCTGCTTTGCAATTGTGATAAATGAGAAACAAATTTTCAACATTTTTCTCTTATACCATTACCAAATTATCATATTTAAGTTGAGAAATTTAACTGTTAAAACAATGATGTATAGTTTGTCTACTTAAACATCAATATCATATCACATTTACTAAATTTCAAATTATGTATAATATTCAAAAAGATTAAGTCAATATAATAAATGTCTAATTTCGTTTATTTCATTTAGAGATAAAAAGTCTTTAAATAGTCAGATAATCTAGAAAATCGTATCAGCGAAAATGTACTTTTTACAATAATATTGTCAATTTTATACTGAACTCTTTTTTCCCTTTTTTTCTTTTTATCAGATGATAAATAATATTGAATAAGTAAAATTTTTATATAACTAAGAAGAGCAGAATATTTTGTTATTGTATATAGTACAAACGTAAATGGTATATATGACCCATTTTTGTATATATCAATAAATCTAGAAAACCTCTTTATTTTTGTACTTAAGCTTAATTAAATTTAGCTTGATTTCGGGCAAGAATATTTTTATTCAGTTAGTGTTTTCCAATACTCTCTTCCCAAATATACTATTACTTAGATGTGTTCCATGTAGTATATGCTAATTCATTGTCACCTGATGTATTGAAAAAGATAAGAATCAAATGAATTATTTAAATATCTCAAATTCGTAATGAGGATTATCACATGAATTGTAAAGTAATACGAATAGGGCAACATAAAGTAGACAGCATTATGTATTCTATTTTTAGGTATATACAAAAGTATACTGTTAGAATGATAGAATTTAATTTGATTTCAGTTGAACAGTACTTTAGCAAACGGTAGTTAGGAAAATGGAATCCTAAAAAAAATAAACAATATTTTGAACTTTATTTGAAATTTTTCTTATTATTCAATTCATGATATTGCGCGACCATCCTTCATTGTCTTCAGTGACTAACTGCCTCACATCAAACATACTTGAACTTCACTGGTCAAGGGGGATGGTCATACAATATCGTGGATTGGTTGAAGTTAGACATTAAAATTGTTGAGTGCCGACTCAGTGGTCCAGAACTTAGGCATTCGCGCACGAGACCGAAGGTCGTCGGTTTGAATCTCACATGCGGGATTGTGGATGTGGACTGCTGAGGAGTCCCATACTAGGATGAAACGACCGTCTATTACTTCCAGGTTTTCAATGGTGGTCTAACATTGGTCTATTCATGATCTCAATCAAAACTCAACTTTCTGCACAACTACATACTAGTATTATTCAATTTTAAAAAATACAGATATGTTTGCAAAGATTAAAATTGTATGATATGGAAAAATAGCAGTTTAGTAGATTTATCAAGAAACTTAATTATTTTATCACTGAAGGCAATAAAATATTTAATATATAGTGTCATTTATTCAATGCCGTTTGTACATTTTTTGAGATTTCTTCCATATCAGACTGACCTGTTTAGACTCATAAAAGACTATTATTTCAATCATTATGATTTACCGCTGTTTCATAACTTTTACTGAGAAAAGATTTAATATAAATAGGATTTGTGATATAATTCGATTTTACAGCAATCCTTCTTAAAGCCAAACTCATAAATTACAATCAAGCTGAAAGATGTTCATTTCAGGTTTCGGAACCTAGTTGCCCAGTTATTTTACTACAGTTGTATCGTATATAAAACATTTTCTAAAGTTCACAGTATGAGTGCTCATACTGTTACAGATGCATATATTTAGATTTTAATTTCGGTTATCTATCCTAATGAGTACATACTCAATCTTTATAGATCAGATGTTAGATATTGCGGATATTTATCGATGTTTGATGTTTAACTAAGCTACACCATATTCTAACCAACCTACTAGCTATTTAACGACACATTACGGAGAGTTATTTGTTTATGTAAATCCTTTATTTAGTTAACTACTGTTATCGTCCCCAAATGCCCTGGTATGGCCGAGAGTGAGGTGGGCCTGCCCTCCCTCTCGAAATGCTCTCACACGGCCAGGGAAGTCCTACTCACTGCCACCTCGTTGCGGGGGTGTTGTCTACGAAAATGAGAGGACGAAAAGCGAATGTCCGGGGTCAGTGGATATGGAGAGTCCACCCAGGGGAGTTGAGAAACCCTGATTTTCAACCAATGGTTCACATGGGCTCCAGTATCCTGAGGGAACAAATGGCGTATGAACCAATCGTTGGTTATCGGCTTACATGGGACTGCATCTTCTCACGATGCTCCATTGCCTTGCAGATCAAACATTTAGACCGAAGGCTCTGGGTGTGGCTCCCTTAGAAAACCACCTGCTCCGGTCTGGGCACCCGTGCAATATCACAGCTCACACACAAATAAAATCTTGTGTGGCGCATATATATTTTGTGCCCTCTTGTACCAATATTTATGTGTTCAAATAAATAAATAAATAATAACTATCATTAACATTTAGTTGTCTATGTTCGATTACTCATCACTTTTCATTAAATGTTATTTTTGCTGTAACCATACTATCAGTTAGTAAAATGAATCACAAACTTAACTACTTACATATTTCCATATTGTTAGTATAAATGTTCATGTTAGATGCGATGAAACAACAAACAATTCTACCAACCAATAATGATCCATGGTTAAGAAAAAATAAATTTCTTTGTTTTTAATCTATATTCAAATTATTATTTCTTTTATAGAATAAGAACAAAAATTTACTTTTAAGTTATTTGAACATTTAACATGGATATCATTTAGATTATTCTGTTTAAATATAAACAGAAAAAAAAACACTTTATTTTCATATTATTCTTTCTTTCGGCTTTTATATACATTTTTCTTCTTTTTACTTCAATAAAATTATTTCTTTAGTATTATTCTTCTTACTATTATTATTTGAATTACTTTGAAAGTCATTCAATTTTAGTAAAACAAAAGACAGTTATGAAAGTGAACTGACCTAATACATTTGTAATTATTTATTATTATTGTAATAACAAAATATTGTTTTGTCCTCTTTAAAAAAACAATGAGTTTAGTAAAAACAAAAAAAATAGTAAAATTTTTCGGTAGAATAATGTTCATAAATTTTTAAAGAAAATTTCAAAACTGCTTCATTTAACGAATTATATTATTATTAAAAGATCGCTGTATTAATAAAAAAAACGATATCATCAACTTGATCATAAATTTTATCGTAAAGTGGTATTAACTAGGGACTACTGTTTTATCATTATTTAGGATTCATTATCGATTTGGACAAAAGATCGAAACCATAACATTTGCATTTCTTAACGGGTTTAATTATTTTAAATAAGTAAGCTAGAATCCAGTAGCTTACAGTTATACAAAAGCTTAAGTAGTAATGAAGTGAACAGAACACGAGTGGGGGATAATCAAATGTATTTGAGCACAAAATTACAGAGCATCTCAATAAAATCTGAGAACTATATAGTAAATTGTTTATTTGCGAAGTATCAATCCATCATATCAAACTTGACTATTCTTGTTGCAAACATCAATCCATTGTCTTGGATTTCATTGTTTGTGTATTTTCATACCAATTGCGTTCCGTTCCCGTTCTATGCCTGATCACCGTTATATACTACTTATGTGGATATAAGTAACCCACACCACAGTAACTGTTTTTATTTTGATATGACTCTAAGCAATCATCTATAGCATCATACCGGTTCTTTGAGTATTCATTTCGAAGATATTAACCAGTGAGTAAATGAATACTGACGCATTTTGTTTCATGGAGATTATTTCAATTTCATAGTGGTCTTCACTATAAGGTGACACTTGCTGGTTAGATGTCGCTGATATGTCCCGAACTAAATTGAAATATCTATCCAGAACTCTCTGACCTTTCAGTTAACTTATCAGTGACATCAGTCAATTATATTAACTACCTCATTATCACAATAATCTCTACATACCATCTATTAAAAAATAACAATTTTTTTGATGATAAAGATAATGATGTTATTGTCATTGCTATTCAACGAAACTTTTTCTGTATACAAAACGTTACATTTATCATCAAGATAAATTATCCAAATATAAAGTACACTTTATCACATGAAGTATCCATAGGACAAAATCTAGCTCAAAATAATAATGGGTAAACTAAGTGTATATGAAATAGTGAATCCTCTCCTTGTTTTACAACTAAATAATTCTAACTAAACAAATATAACTGTTTCGTATATGCATCAACAATAAAAACGCAAAATTAACTCGGCTATGCCATTCTCATTTTATAGGCGATATTCATTCAAATACATGGTTATGCATAAATAATCAAACTTAAAGTAACTTCATCAGTGTTCTACCATAATAATAATCTTAAATAAATTTACATTAGCTCTCGGTTATAAAGATACGAACTTTCGTGGTGTATTATATCAAGAATTCAAAATTTAAATTGTAAAACGATTTGTAAATTACATTATGGACTGAGTCTAGGCAAACAGCCAATGAGACAAGAAAGTTCTAATATGGAACTCATCAGTACCTTGCAATATAACAGTTGTTGCAATAAAACTGTCCTAGAATTAAGCTCGAAAATTTATTTTTTAAATCTAATCCACTTGTAATACTAAAAGACCTCTGTCAATTGGCATCAACATGTTATCTATTCAAAATTATGCTTTTTTCTCATTAATGAATTATGGAATATTCTTCAGTTATTTTTGGAAATCTTCTAAAACGTCCATACAACTTCATACAAGTTGAATCATGAAAATGAAGTTATGACTTAACGTATCACAATGCTAAAGTTTTGTGTCATCGAAACCTTACATAAATCGTTAATTACACATTTTTGTTAGATGAATAAGGGTAATCGACAGGAAACCATGGATTTGGTTTTTATTCTAGTTAAAATACATTCTCAAGATAAACCTGAAATTTTGTATGAATCTTGTGGAAATTCAACCCAGATCACCCAGCTTCCGAGTTTGAGGTACTCAATCAGTATTTGATCTCCCATAAGACCAAAATATTTACTTTTAAAAGCTAAGGTATTTATTTATGAACGATGAAAACAAAATTTGCTTATATTTGTCTTTCATTGAAAAATTCTAAGCTTATCTGCATTTCACGTTAGAACAGGAATAATACATGGTGTTTTTTGATATCATTGTGAATAAAAACTTATTTTATCCTTGTTTTAGCAAAATAATGTTATTCAGTTCAATTTATTTCTACTTCTCTTGTTATTTTTTACATAGAACATCAAATGTCTATGTGCATCTTGAAGAAAAATGGTGAGAACACAATTCCTATCACAGATGATAATTATAATTTACAAGATACCTCAGAAACTACTTTTTATAATAATGTAGTTTCTCATGAAACATGCGACCACTTGAACCATAATTCATTATATTCAATTTACAATATGTATGTTCAAAGGAATACAGTCAATACTTCTGACACGCAATCATCATTTTGTCCTTTTAATATTGATAAATGTCATAATTGTTGTATTACAATGAATTTACGGCAATTATGGAGCTCCAAAGCATTTCTTATTATAACTGACATAAATTCAATCATTCAGTTAATTACATATATGACGAAATTATTTGTTAATGATGAACAAACTTGGATGAATATTTTATTGTTGATACAAAATGAATTAAAAGCATCAGGTAAGCTATGTATTTGTATATTAATAAAAGTGTGTGATGTTTGAATTATTCGTTGTAACTAATACACATAATCATCTATGTTGTGCCGTCTTCCGGGCCTGATGTTGATATATTGGCTACCTATATTCGAGCCCACATCAGCTAATTGAATGAGGAGATTGAAATAAATGAGTATTATTGAATAAAACCGAATAGAGAACATATGTACATTCACTCATAAAGAAACACTTTTATGTCTTAAAAATTGGAGACAGACCTTGGAGTATCCGTTACATCTTGGCCGGTCATGTGTTTTCATCTGTTGGTCTATGTCTGATTAACTCACGGTATCACAATCATTTTCGAATATTTTCTTATTGTATTACGAATTGTTTGTAGTTATTACTGTTACCTAGTAATCTCCAACTCGTCGGCTTAATTATATTAATGTTGTTACGATGCGTTGATACATTAGATTCTCTCCGTAATGAAGTCACGCGTATATATTATTATAAAATCGGAGACTGTGACGGAACAGATTTCTGTTTTAATTTTCTTATTTTTGATGGTTCTAAATTTTATATCAATTAATGATGAAAATTATTCTTGTATGTAGATTTTTTTTTCTGAAGTATCACATCATTTAATATACATAAATACTTGTTACTAACCATTACTTTTTGAATTTTCATTAAATAACTAAAAGTTTGGTCATTAAAAAGGTAATCTTTCATAATAGCGTGCGAAAAACAATGAACAAGTCACTGTGGGTGTAATTCAGTGATGTTAAGTGATTCGAATGTCACTCTCACTTTTACCTACCTCTTACTAATATGTAAATATAGATTTTGCTAAATACTAGTTACAGTTTTGAATGTGTAAATATTTTTAAGAATATGTCTTTTACTGACACAGTTTTATCATAACAAGCTATTTTGTTAAACTTTAACGATTTCGCATTGTTCATTTTTAGGACTGTTTGTTCTTAATGATTACATAGGAAAACGTTTAAGCTTTGAATGCGTTATATAATTGAAGGTTGACTTTTTGATTAAATTCAATGGCTTTCAGTTAACTCGTAGTAGATGTGCATATCGCTCCTCAACTTTCGATTTGGTATTACCTAGTAATATTACTAGCTCTTGCAAAAAATGTAGCTTTGGATCGAGTACTTGTTAAATTGAATGTAATTACCTAATGTTTTCCATCAATTTTAACATTTTGATAAAAAAGTGAATATATAATATAATAAAAATGTAATACTGGAATTAGTTTATCACAAAAGGCGAGAAACAACCGCTCTATCTTTTCATAATATGAGTACAGTTTATATTCTTCTGTCTGGATGTTTTAGGGTATGAAATTTACAGTTTGAAACTGTTCGATAGTTGTATTCTTTAAACATTATTCAACTTAACCTTTATTACATTGCTTTAGACTGAACACTCTACAGTAAATGAATATCGCGAAGATATTCATTCCCTTGTAGACACTACAAGTATCGAAAGTGAAACGTATTACTGTCAGGTTGATCACAAACCCGAATTGATTTGAATCAGTCCTTACGACTAAAACAAGAGTGAACTGGAGAAGCTTTCAGGCTCCGGTAAAAGAAATCAAAGCGATGTCATAGTTATTACATATGATTTACACAGATATAAAATACAGATGACAGGGTAATTTTTAAAACTGTGGAATGACATAGATCAAGGAATAATGAAAAAATAAAGGGTAGAGAAACGTTTTGCTAACTAAATAACACTACGGTTTTTAACGAGATCCTAGAGCAAACAACTTTCTGTCTTTTGCGAAGCATAAAAGTCTCAATGGATATTAATCACATAATTAAACTGAATTGGATCGTTTATAGTTCAGTTGCCATTTCTACTTGTTCAACTCTATAATTTTCAGTAAATGTCATTTAATCTTAACTGCTTATTCTTTAAAATAAAACTAAAAATCACATTCTATCATACAATATCTTAAGTCATTGTTAATATCTATATTATTAGGAGTTTATGAATACAATCGTAATATTTATAGACTTAAAATAGGTTGATTATTATTATTATTGAATTGTTATTGCTGAATTCAACTTACTCATGAATTTATTCTTTTAAATATTGTTTATATTCACTAAATTCAATAAATTATTTATTAAATAAAATGGAAACAAACATTTAATTTCTATATACAAAATAATATACTGAACATACTGATCAACAAATTTTTCTATTCTTTTTATTGTTGCTCATAATCTATTTTGTGGACAAAAATAAGTTTAATAATCTAAATTCTATAAATACATGGTAGTTTTAATAGATGGTGATAAAAGCAAAAAAATTTTTCTACCTCTTTTTTGGAGGGGGCTATTTATTCAGTAAATATAATGACTTTTATTTAATTGGAGTAAAATTAATAAATTAGGTGTGAAACGAAAGAAATGAAAAGAAAATAATCACTGATGCAGATTTTTCTAGGTTTAGAATTTAATTTTGTAGAAAAATAAAGAATGACTTGTAAGCGAAGATGGGTAGTGGCTAGCAGTAGAATCTAGGATGCGCGCCTCGTCCCATTTGGGACTCGTCAGCTGGATGTACCTGCATCTCAGAGTTGATATTCACTCTGGGACTCAAACCCACTACCGTTCGCTTCAAACGCCATCGCTTTATCTACTTAGCTACTCAGCCCTGATAGCCACTTGCTTGTGAAATGGGGTGAAGTTTAATACACTTGATATTGTTTTACTTGAATCTTCCCATTGATGTTTAGGACTGAAATTGATCGGTCTCTTATTGGCATATGTGCATACTTCGCGTATTGCTTCGATATTGCTTGCTAAGTGGATAACGCGATGGCGTTTGAAGCGAGCGGTAGTGGGTTTGAGTCCCAGAATGAACATCAACTCTGAGATGCAGGTACATCTAGCTGCCGAGTCCCAAATATGACGAAACGCGCATCCTGGATTCCACTGCTAAACACTATCAATTTTTGCTTATAATGCTTGTAAATTATGGCAATATCGAGGCAATACGCGAAGTATGCACATATGCTAATAATAGACTGATCAATTTCAGTCCTAAACATCAATGGGAAGATTCAAGTAAAATAATATCAAAAGAATGACTTATTTTTCGGGGATAAACTCAAAGTTTTCTTTGTCAATTACTTGATAATATTTTTAAAAAAACTTGGTTTTTAAATTTTTCTGATGATTGAGGTTTAACATACCGTTGGAGGATGACTTTGTTTGTCTAGATTTTAAGGGTTTGTGCTCGAAACCAAAGGTTCTGGATTTGATTCCTGCTTGCGGGAACATGGATTCGTACTGTTGAAGAGTCCTTCGCTAGATCGAGGCCCCACCTATTGCTTCCAGGTTATTCTAATGATTGTTTTAGATCAGTTCATGATTTCAAAGAAAACTATAGATTTGGTTCATTAAAATTGTATTCATCACATATTTCGATAAAGTTGTTCATGCGGCTTACAGTATAATATTAGGCTTGATTTAAAAATTTTAGAACTTTAATAGCTTAATTTTAAATTCATTGAAATGTCAGGATCCTTGTATAATAGTAATACAAACAATATATAGGTTTATGCATAAGACGTTTTTACTATCAGCTCAGAAGGTATTTAATTGCTTACTTATCCGTACATATCGATTGTTCGTATTCAGCACTTATAGATAAAATTAAGTCAACTAACAATCGACTAGTGAATTTACTGATTACGGTAAATTTATGCTGTCTATACGAATATATCAGGCTATTGATAGGTATTTCAAGGATATAGCCCATAAAATGAAATCGATACCGATAGTTTATATTATTTTATTAATAAGTTGTTGATTAATCACGGGCCGCTCGACTGTCTATAAATACGAAATAATCATCGGAAAATGAAGCTATAGTGAAAGAAAAGAAGTGAAGAATATTATTGTTTGTTCACGTTATTATATTAGGTTTTCTGAATAATTTATTTAACCCTTCAGAAAATCCATTATGAGAAAGTTCATTGCAAACAGCCTTTCATTTTTATTTCGGTCATCAAATAGTGTTTCACTCGTGCATAAGAATGATTAGAAAGTTTGTAAATACCCTTGCAAATTAAGGTTGGTTGTTAACGGATGCTAATTTTTGTGGACTCTTTAAAAGAAGTGAGCTCCAACGGTGCTAAATGCATGTAACCATGGTAGAAGACTGTCTATATACAAACTTATAAGTAATAATAATATGCAAATAAACGAATATTTCTTAATACAGAAAATACTTCGATTAAAGAAGAGAAAAACCTAAAAAACAGAAGAAATTTGAAAAATTGAACAATATGAAAGAATAAATTTACACCGAAAAATGAATAGGATATTTGTTTGATGAATAATTGTAATTTTTGCTACCATTCTAAATGTTCTCTTTCTTTTCTCTAGTGTTGTTATTAGTTTAAATTTCTGAAATTCAAACATTTAAGCAAAATGTAAACTAATAAAATGCGACATTAAATTGGCTTGCTTTTTTTTTCCTATGTACTAATGTAGTGAACGAGAGATTAGGTATGGTAAACCATTTAATTGTTTTATGCAAAATCACGTAGTGCCATTGTACAATATGAAAATCACACGTTAAGTTTATCTTTTGAATATCTTCTTTTAGTTTTCCTTTATATACCCCATCATTCTTCTGATTCTATCGTTATTCCGATCGCTCATCGTTTTCTCTCTTGTTCTCTTTAGTTCAATCTTCTGCTGGGAAGCATTCTACTTCATATTCATGCTACATACACCAGCATACACCACGCTACTACTTTTTATCATATATTCTTCATTATTATGTAAAAAATATTAGATCTAATTCATTAGATCTAATGTGTAACAAAAAAAGCACTACTGTAATATTACTTAGTTAATACATTTTATGAAATAATGGCCTGTCAATTTCAATAAAATGTGTTAAACTTGAGGAATTGTCATTATCATATTAATGAAAGATGATTAATATTATCCTGATTTTATAATGAAACACTGTATACCATCATTTACTTTATATGTAAAAATTCTTAAGCTAGTGTTTATAGAACGAACTGATTACTTATGAAGTGAAAATATCTTTATAATAACTTGTGCAATATTTTTGATAACCTCGTCGGTAAGTATATATACATAATTTTATTTGGTCATTATTAATTTCATATTAAAACTGACTTATGTTAGTTGTCCTTCAAATGTATTATATATATATATATATATATATATATATAAGTCAGAAAAGTAAATAATTATTTAACCGGAAGACCATATACTTGGATTTTACCTCAATGAAATATGTAGAATATTATTTGCTTGATATTATGCATATATATTACTTTTGGGCGTAACTAATGATTTTCTCACCTATTTTCAAGAAACATATCATTATTGAAATAAATGATTTTATTTATTCAACGACAGAAAAAAATTTATTTCGGATCGTTCTACATACGTCAACCTTATTTCTTAGTGTTGATTATATATATATATATATATATATATATATATATATATATATATATATATATATAGAGAGAGAGAGAGAGAGAGAGAGAAATAGTGGTTTACTTTCGTAGTTTCACTTTTAAATTTCACCATGTTTTCCTTTTGCTAAATTATATAGCAAAATTTAGAATAGGAGAAAGACGTTCAATAATTCCACTGTAAAATCACTAATAGTATCTCAAAAATATATTACAATCTCAAAAGTTTATCCTTTAAACGTTGTTTATCAGTAAAGCAAATTATTTCCCTTTGGTCATGATAATCACAACTAATGAAAGATATCTTATATTTGTGTGATTCATTGAAGTAAAGAAATTTCATAAAATCTGACGGTTTTAATCATTTGTATATTTATAACTTGAAACCAGTGTTAAAGTTATTGTTACTGAATGTATGAAAATGGAATTCAGGAATAGTAATAATTTAATCTTAGATTACCCTCAAGTAATCTTCAAATTGGCTTTCAGATAAATACAAATAAAACAACCTCTGAAACAGGACAATTTGTAAACTTCAGCTACTGGAAATTTTCCAATACCGATAGACTGTTTCTAAAGCGTTTGAAAGCACATACAAAAGAAAAATATGATGATAAGATGTACAACAAGCTGTGCTATTCGACTTACAAAATGAATAAATTGGATAGAAATTGTAATTTGTGAGTGATTTTGGATTTGTTACTATAAATAAAGTAAATGCATGATACATTGAATAATGTAATTAATACGTAAATATTTTATAAAATAATACTCTTCTGTAATTTAATGCGTATATCAAGCGTTAGTCATTCATAAACAATCTTTGAATAGGTTACTCATTTTAGACTAACTATAGTAGTCAAGCATTTGATAATAAATTCTGAAAAGTAACCGTTCATAATTAATTATATTTGAACGGAACCTTATCATTTACGATTATTGGTTATGTTGTGAATAATTACATTCGGGCATTATGAATCGGAATTGACATTCAGAAGTTTGCTCCTACAGCAGGTTGGTGCGTTTGTGTTAAAAGACTTGTCTAAATGGTCAAGCGTATCTCAGTATTGAGTAATAAATTATAATTATGCATAAAAAAGTCCTTTTTATTAGGTGATGAGGTTAAATCCGAATTTTTAAGGGGATAGTAGTTAATTTACTAAATAATCAACATAAGGGACTGATGACTATGGTTCAATTCGTAATTTACAACAACTAGAAAACTTAAAAATCAAGACGCGCCGGATATCTATTTCGTTCTAGTATGCGGCACATGCATTCACGTCCACGCCCTCGCCAATGAAGTTCAGGAATCCTAATCTGTGAAGCTAACCTACAGATGTCATTCGGTTATGTGCTTCCATATTGCAAAGCGGTAGAATTTAGGAACGTATGACATTGAACTTTACATCAGTAGTCTATAAATAACTTCCTCGTCACTCGACCTAGAAACCCTGAGTTCGATCCATGAAGTGGTCATTAGTATGTACTTCTGTAGATGAGAGACGTGTCATATTCTCTCAAATTAATCAGTAAGCCTTACTATGGAAACGTATACATTGTTTGTAGAGATATCTTTTAATGCAAAAATTATTTTAACATATCAACATTACGTCGCTTATTGAGACATTGTGCAATATTAAATGTTTTATCTTTCAATAAACATATTTACATCAATGTTTAATTTCGCTTCCTTATATGTACATCATGATTGAGTTGCTAGTTGTGAGATGGATAAGGTTTGTTTTACTCAAAAATAAACCAGACGGTAAATCTCACAAGGCTGTATATCACTTATTCAACCGAAATGGACAACACGGTTGTTATAATCGTAAATCTGCATAATTTGATTATGTATCTTATGTCCTTGTTTACACACTACTCTTTTTTTATCTACGTGGAAAATTATTAGACCTGTGATCATTTGTT